TGAGGTGTTGTTGGGACCACACTAAAGTCAAAGGAAGTCTTCACAGTGAGAGCTGGGTGCTGCAGTGAGAATTGAGTCATGCTCAGGGATGCGCCAGCTCAAAGGAAGAGAGAAATGTGTGGGCTAAAAGCTGAGCCAGAAGTCAGCAAAGTCAGAGGTTTTGGCTTTGTCCTTGTCTTCACCTCTTGGTTTCCGTCTCATCAAAGAGTGTCATGTCAGCAAAGGAGTGAGAGCCTACACACTGAGCCTGTCTCAAACACTGCTTATATTCCATAGTGTGACTCAGAGCCAGGAACCTGAGCTTGTCTGAGCGCTGTTTTCATTCGACCATGGGAGACCTTGAGCATAAATAAAGCAAATAACAAGGATGTTGGCTCTTGTACTGCATAGATAGGATTGACCCCTTTGTTCAAAGCTGACCACTTGGGGCAATAAGGGTAGGAGGTCTCCATGTTGGATCAGGAGCTGCTGAGAAAACTCGGAAGGAAAAAGGAAGCTTATAGAAGGTGGAAGCAAGGGCAGGCGGCCTGGGAAGAATGCAGGGACATTGTCCAGGAAGCTGGGGATGGGGTCAGGAAAGGTAAGGCCCAATTAGAACTGAGTCTGGCCAGGGGTGTGAAAGATAACAGGAAGGACTTCTACAGGTATGTCACAAACAAAAGAGATGAGGGATAACGTGAGCCCTCTCCGGAAGCTGTCGGGGGAACTGGCTACACGGGATTTGGAGAAGGCTGAGGTTCTGAATGACTTCTTTGCCTTGGTCTTCACTGGCAGAGGCTCTGACTGCACCACCCAAGTCTTAGAAGGCAGATGCAGGGACTGTGGGAATGAAGACCTTGCGCCCACTGTAGGAGAGGAACTGGTTCGAGACCATCTTAAAAACCTGAACGTGCACAAGTCCATGGGTCCTGATGAGATCCATCCGTGGGTCCTGAAGGAGCTGGTGAATGAAGCTGCTAAGCTGCTGGCCATCATATTTGAGAAATCATGGCGGTCAGGTGAAGTTCCCGACGACTGGAAAAAGGGAAATATAACCTCCATTTTCAAGAAGGGGAAAAGGGATGACCTGGGGAATTACAGACCAGTCAGTCTCTCCTCTGTGCCTGGCAAAATCCTGGAGCAGGTTCTCCTGGAAGGCATGCTAAGGCACATGAAAATCAACAAGGTGCTTGGTGACAGCCAGCAGGGCTGTTCTGGTGTCCTTAACAGAAGAAGGACAGGGAGCTGTTGGAGCAAGTCCAGAGGAGGCCATGAGGATCAAGGGCTGTAGCACCTCCCGTATGAAGATAGGCTGAGGAAGTTGGGGCTGTTCAGCCTGGAGAAGAGAAGGCTGCGTGGAGACCTCATAGCAGCCTTCCAGTATCTGAAGGGGGCCTATAGGGATGCTGGGGAGAGACTCTTCATTAGGGACTGTAGTGACAGGACAAGGGGTAACGGGTTAAAACTTAAACAGGGGAAGTTTAGGTTGGATATAAGGAAGAAGTTCTTTCCTGTGAGGGTGGTGAGGCCCTGGCACAGGTTGCCCAAAGAAGTGGTATATGTTCCATCCTTGGCAGTGTTCAAGGCCAGGTTGGACAGAGCCTTGGGTGACATGGTCTAGTGTGAGGTGTCTCTGTCCATGTCAGGGGGGTTGGAACTGGATGATCTTAAGGTCCTTTCCAACCCTAACTGTTCTTTCATTCTATGATTATATTTAACCACATGCCTTGTATTTTGTATTAATAAATCAAAAAACTGGCTGGTTGGTGTTGTTTCACCTTCATTCAGTACAAGGGTATCACGAACTTGGTTGTTGGTCCCAAGGGGAAGGAGGTCATCCTAAATGACTCCTTTGGGGTTGTGACAGTCAGCAGCAGGAGTAAAAGCCAAAGCAAGCAGGGCTGAGCCTCTGAAACTCAGAGCTAGGGAGGCAGAGATGGGAATAAGACCCTTAATTTTGGGGGCACGAGACCAGAATGCAGCTGCCCATCCCTAAGGACCAGGCTGTGCAGTTCTAATAGGACTCTTTTGCATAGTTGGCAGAGGTGGCAAGAACTTGCAAGGCTCACAGGCCAGTGCTGCATTCTTGGGCAGCTGCTTGTGGTCAGCTGAAGCTTGGCCCCACAGCAAATGAAAGCAAGCAGGAGGCTAGAGCTTTTTTTGTCAGCTTGGGACTGACGGTGGCTTGCAGACTCCTTCCAGTTTGCGGCTGTCTTTATGCTTCTGAGAGATCAAAATGGATGTGGTTTCAGACTGTGTCCTTGCAGTTCTCTGTAGAGAGGGATTTACAGCGGGGGCACAGAACTTGTCTCTGTTCCTGAGTGTAGCAGAACTGTTCTTTCTGTTCATTGGAATGGAATGTAGATGCTGTTCAAAAATACTGTTCAAAAGCCTCCTTTAAGCTCCCCTGTTGCACATCTTGTGTTTGCCTGGCTTGTCCCTCCCATTGACAGGCTGAAGTTTTTTCCTCATGAGTTTTGACAGTTTTCACATGAAGCACTACTTGATTGTCAAAGTGATGGAGCAGCGTGGGATTCTTCTTCTGCTTGAAGGGTACAAGTGTCTCTTTCAGCTTTTTCCTAATTGAGACCCGTTCCATGTGCCATGCTTCCAGACCTATGGGCTCCTCCAGCTTTTCTTGAGAAAGGGGTTGGTGCAGAGGGAAGGAGGAGGAATGAGCCAACATGATCTGGGAATCACTTCTGTTTCTCTGAGGCAGCTACAAGGTAGTCCAAGTTCCTTGAGGAAGTTTGTGAAAATAACTTGGTCTGTTGCACCAGAGACGATGTAGGAAGAACACTGGGTCACAAAATACATGTTACTACTTATGAAAGGATTGGAACAGTGGTGTTTCCTAAACGGGCTCAGTTCTGTGGTAGTGCTGTAAGGCTCCAGCACTAGGAGGATCTGGTCCCTTTAGATCTGCAGCCAGCTTTTGATGCCTGAGGTAGCATCACCACTATGTGAGTTGTTCACTTAGATTTCAGTAGAGAACCCTTATGCACTGTTGCATGCCCAGCTTTCAGAGGTAGATTCAGATTGCTGGCGCTAGGTATTGCGTGTCACAACACAAATTATACCCCTGCTTTAGGTATCTCTGATAGCCCTTCCTATCAGATGCATTTGCTCACCAGCAGCCTGTTAGGCCCACGCACAAAGGCACAGTCCTGTTGACACACAGCTGTGTGATGTGTAAGCACAGTCATGTTGACATACGTATATGAATGTAAGGTCTCTTCTGCTGGTGCTGATGTGCTGCTGAGTGCACCTCTGTGATTCATTTATAGGACTTGAACCATAATTGTGTATCTTCCCTTGGCAGAAGGCTGCAGGTTTTTATATTTCACAGAACCAGGACTCTGACCAGTAAATCCAGTCTTGAAAGATCCCAGAGACTCGTCCAGGTTTCTAAAAGGCTACTGTTTCCTCTGAACATCCAGTATTTGGAGGTAAAGGGCTTGTTGGCTATTCCTATGCAGCAGGGTTTCTTTGGAGATGTGCTTAAATCTGGTCTAGGGCCCGATCCTTAAACTTCTCGCAGAAAGCACTAGAAAAGGAACCAGGGAGAAGACAGACTCGTTGAGCAGAAGTGTCACAGCAACTGCATCTGCCTCATCTGGTTTCTTTGTGCTGTCCTGTACCATCTCCTTTACGTGTCCTCAGTGAATTCGGGACAGAAATTAGGCATGTTCTGTAGCTTTGTGCCTGTTGATTACTGTTTCTGGCACTCAGGATAAAAGTGCAGAAGCCAGAGCTGCCACCTGTAGTCTCTGTTAACAGCGCTTTGTGTTGCAAGAGCGCTGATCTTGAGACCATTGGTATCGCAGTTGTTCCATTGTCTCAGGAAAAGAGAAGGAGAGGGAAGACATGGAGTAGGGCAAAGCTGGTGGTGACACATTGAAAAGCGTTTGGTGTCTTATTTGAGACATGGGTGGCAAGGGCTGGCAGAAATGGCTTCCCTTAGCCTTTCATCCCTGTGTGCTTCCTCACTGGACTATGTCTGGTCATCAGGTTCCTCTGTTCTAGACGCTGCGTTGGAGAGAAGCAGTTGCTTCATCTTCTGTCACTTGGCCAGCCCTGGTTTCTAAAACTGACAGAGTTGAGGCAGTCAGTGGGCGGCAGCGCAGCAGATTATGTGAAGAAGACAGTGTTCCCTCTTGCAGTTACGCCTTGCATCACCTTTCTGCATTTTTAGCTGAAGTGGCAGTGCAAATTGGGAGATGTTATCCTCTAGTAACATGGAGTTTAGTGCATAACTCATAGTCATTTGAAAACAGCCCTCCTGTATTTCTGTGACACCTAATTCCCTGGCCTAGTCATAGAGCCTCTCACTTGTGTACCTGTGGGGAAAATGCTAGTTTAGGTTTCTTTACTCCCTTTAGGGGGTCTACAAGGATGGTGGAGAGGGGCTCTTCATCACGGACTGTAGTGATAGGACAAGGGAGAATGGGTTTAAACTTAAACAGGGGAAGTTCAGGTTGGATATAAGGAAGAAGTTCTTTACTGTGAGGGTGCTGAGGCACTGCACAGGTTGCCCAAAGAAGTGGCAAATGCTCCATCCCTGGCAGTGCTCAAGGCCAGGTTGGACAGAGCTTTGGGTGACATAGCCTAGTGTAAGGCATTGGTCCTCATGGCAGGGGGTTGGAACTGGGTGATCTTAAGGTCCTTTCCAACCCAAACCATTCTATGATTCTACCTAGCAGCAGAGTGCTGCTGTTCATAGTTAGGTGGGTTTCCCATAGCCTACAATTGTTAGTGCATCTACAAAACTAAACCATGCTGTGTCTTGGGAGCAAAAAAGATGAGGGGCCTCTCCTGTCTGGCCCTTTGAGGTGGCTGGTGCATGAAGTAGGAATGTGTGGGTTGGCATTAAGCATGAAGAGGGTAGCTGATAGGCCTTATCCTTCATCATGCCCTGGGTGTGCACATGGACTTATACTCCACTCCCGGCTGGTAGCTGCAGATGTTGCCAGGAAGCCTGCAGTCTCTTGGAAACTCCCCTTTGGGCTCCAGATGTCCTGCTGACAGCAAGTTTTGCTCTTGCAGTGTCAGTTATGGTTGTGCATGACACAGTTTTGAAATCCCAGCAGGCTGGATACTCCTCTTTTGCTTTCTGGAATAGGTAGCAGTTGTGGCTGGGATGCAGCAAGACTGGGTCACTGAACTGGAGGCAGTGGGGCCTTAGAGCTATCACTCAGTCCTTCAGATGGGGGATCAAACTCTTCCTTTGGAAAATGACTGTGGGACTGCTGCTGGTGATTCATTCTGCACAATAGTTAATGTTTGAGTGACTCTTTTGCATGGTTTAATGGAATGTGGAGATGCACTGAGACACTACACTTAGCTTTGTTGTTTCATGCCCAAACATGTCCAGAGACATCTGATATCGGCATCAGTGAATTTACATGGACTGGGAATACAAGTTTGGTTTGGGTTTGTTTCAGTGCAGTTCCTATCTCCATCTGATGCTCAGTGCCTCTCCACAAGGTTTTCAGTTGCTGCAGTCCAGCGATTCAGTGGCTGCGTGCATCAGAAGGGAGGGATCTCTGAACTCCTTATACACTCTGAGGCTGTGTTTACAAAGCTCACGTGGATTAATGTGCCCTGTGGTTTTTAACACCTTATTACCTGCCACTGTGTAATGGGAGATGGCAGGAGCTCAGCAGGCTTGACAGCATGACGGCTCTTGTGCTTGATGACCCTTTCAGAGTCCAGGGAGGGGCTGGTTTGTGGAATTATTACTTTCATCTTTGCCTTTGGTGTTCTAAGAAGAGTTATGCAATCTGGTCCAAAAACCCAGGAGGGAAGAAGGGACTTTGGGACCTCTACCTCTTCCCATTCAGCAGTGTGTGGGGCATGATCCTGCTTACCTGATGCTTTTGTAGCTGGGCTGCTGCCCAGCTTTCTGTCATCTCCTGTCTTTCAGAGAATGGCAGGCTTCCAGTCCTCAACTCAATCACTCAAGTTAAACTGGTACAGGCCTTTAACATAGTTGCTTTTTAAATCGGTTAATCCCCTTAGCTCGCATTGGTAAATCGCTGAGTTAAGATCAACTGATCAGATGCATGTTCAATCAGATTAGGGCTGTTTACATCAGCAGTTTGCACCAGTTTCACTAAGTCTGTGCAGTCAAACCAGTGAGGCCCTTTTCTGTGCAGGTGGGGCTTTTTGGAAGAAGTGATTGGATTCACTTTCCTGGTTCAGGTTCTGCAGTGGAGTTAGTGCTGTATAATAAAGCTGCTTTTCAGTATGGTTTCCAGGTTCCAGAAAAGGGTATCTTCAGAAAGGGGGTGGTGAACCTCTTTCCTGAGGGTGGCATCATTTCCTGTAGGTATGATGCTGGCTTTCAATTTCTTTCTGTAGGTGAAGGAAGGATTTGTCATCCTCATCTTTGATACATCATTAATCTTTGACACCACCTTTGCATAATGATATTAATAGGGAAATTTGATGTTTTGTGGTATTTGCTAAATAACTGTAGCAAAATTTTCTTTTACAATGTTCTATGTGTGCTGCAGTGCATGCCATAAAATCCAGGGCAGCAATGAGCTATTTGTTACTGGAAGCTTTAACAAAGGCAACCAGTTGTAAAGTCTGGAATTTCCTTCTTACACACCTGAAGAGGTCAGGGCTGAAGTCCTCTCATGGTGTTAGCAGTAATGAAGACTTGTTCTGCTTGGATGAATGTTTTGGCAATAGACAGATAGTTTTGTTCCTGGCTGTGCTAATCTTGTACCTTTAACACAGTTTGTTAAAATACTGTGTTTCAAGAGCATAAACATCGATAAAACAAAGCCAATTGTCCCTTGGAATAAATAAGGAAACAAACTCTTGAAGCTCGTTTGTTATGCAGCTTGTAATGGATTTGGAGAGTTAACAGCTTCAGTAGTTGAACTCTGCCTCTTTTGTATTTGTGTTTTTTCCACAGGTACTTCCTTTCTGACTTTCAGTGGCAGAGAGAAACTAAAGACCTTGAAGAAAGACGCCTGCGGCCCCTTGCTTGGCAGTAACAATGCTGCAGCGATGAGATTATAGTGAGCCCTTCCTGTGTGGCCTCCATGGGTCCCACTCAACTCAGCACACAGGATCATGGGAAGAGGGTGGCAAGTGTATTTGAGATGGAGGAGGAAGGGCTTTCACTCTTACCTGGCTCAGAAAACCCCCCTGAGCAAGCAGGTATGGAAAAATTCGTACTAAATCCATGCAACCTGAAGGCTATCCATTCTTTCAGCTGGAAAAATTGATACTTGGCAAAATTTAGTGTGAGTTCTGCTCTGCTTGAGGCACTCAGAGAGAATGTCTAAGAATAGAATCAGTTCTTGATAGCTGAAGATCACTGGATTTACGCAGGTGATAGATGTGTTGAGTATTTTGCTTACTTGACCTTCCAGAGGCTAGGTCCATGACAGTAAACTGAATTTCTTTTTGATAGCCTTATCAAAACCTGGTGAACAATAAAGCTTTGTTACAGGTGACAATACAACAAGTTAGTGATGCAAAGAAATAATAGGTTCTTGCAGATTCATATAATGGGAAGACAATAGAAATTTCCTCTACATATTTCTGAGGTTAACTGAGGTCAAAAGGATATCAGGAAATAATACTGAGATTTTGCAGTTACAATTGCTGCTGACACACACAATCCTACACTGTTAAACTGTAAGGAGATGTAGTATTACCCATCTCTGATGGGTAACAGGAAAAACAAGAAAGCACAAGTGAGGTGTCCAACATATAGTTGGCAAGTTAAAGAAAATATGACAAATAAATGTATTTGCTAAACAATGAGGCAATGGGCAATCCCTCATATAAAGAGGTGATCTGAGCAGTCGGTTAGGGCTTACGGGTAGAGTAGAAACAAAGACAGTAGCTGAAAGGCAAAGAGATATTAGCCAATAAAACAGATTTAAGGACAGGGAAAGAAAACAATAAGTGTCATATAAAAATGCAAAAACAAAGGCCACAAAATGTGGAAAAAGTTATTAAATGGGGGATCTAGCAAAGAAGGGGAGGACTCTAATGGGAGCTAAAGGTGCAGAGATAGCATTCATGCTTGGTACATCTCAAATGACTGTGATGTTCTCTTTCACTACAGAAAAAGACAATAATAAGCTGTTTAACTAAAATGATCAGTGTTCAGAGATGGAAAATAATTTGCATAAATCCAAGAATTAAGACCATGTGTCTCAATAAACGGTAATCAGATGTTTATGTAATGCCTGAAAGACAGCTAAGAAATCCACAAGATGGATAGTTTAATCTTTGGAAGTCATTAAGTTACTCTGTTGCTCTCAGAAACATATGAACATGTTCTGAGGCTTCCACAAAGTTATTATACCCATTCATATATGTGCAATGGCAGACTAAGTAATTTGAATATAAGTAATTTGAATATAATATTTGGATATAAGGAAGAAGTTCTTTACTGTAGGGGTGCTGAGGCACTGGAATGGGTTTCCCAGGGAAGGTGTGAATGCTCCATCCCTGGTGGCATTCAAGGCCAGGTTGGATAGAGCCATGGTTTAGTGTGAGGTGTTCCTGCCCATGGCAGGAGGTTTGGAACTGGATGATCTTAAGGTCCTTTCCAACCCTAACCGTTCTGTGAGTCTATGAAATAACCGTTGGCATTGCATAATTTCCTCTTAGAAATAGATTGTGTGAAGAGAAATACTGTAGAACAAGAGAGGGAAATATCAGAGACTTAACCTTTCTGATGACATTTTCCTGCTGTCCCATCTGCAAATAGAAGTGAAGGCCAAAATGAGTGACCTCCAGACCTCTGTAAAGTCTGTGGGATTAAAAATTTGACACCAAGACACTTAAGGTTGTGAAAACCAATATGAAGTAAAGGACAAGAGTAATTTCTGAGACCTACCTAAAACTCATTACCATTTCAGGAACTTGAGCAGAATAGTATTTCTGAGATCTAATAGATAAAGATAGAAGTATTAGAACCATGTGTACGAGCATGAGATATGCCATTGTAACCCTGATGCTGATCAGGAAATGCAGCAGCCTTGTCCTGCAAACCAATCCCTATGAATTAACTCCAGTGTAAAGGCTTTCCAGGCATATCTGAGCATAATCTGAAGATTTATCAAGACATGCTGGTTGTAATCTTTATGAACAGCTGACAGAAAAATCTATACTATCTGACATAAAGAAAAATACTTGTGCTATGAACTGTGCAGAAGGACATGTCAGATGTCAGCATGGCTAGAATTAAATGGAATTAAAAGAGAGATGGCTAATAGGGAGGGGATACACAAATAACATTGGCAAGCATTTGGCTGGGGTGCTTAAAGTGAGACACAATGGAGTTTACCAAAGGTGTTTTCAGAAAACACCCAGTGACAAGATGAAGATCTGTCAGAATAATATAGGAAGAAGTGGGAGCTACTCCACAACACCGTAGAATCATAGAATAGTTAGGGTTGGAAAGGACCTTAAGATCATCCAGTTCCAGCCCCCCTGCCATGGGCAGGGACACCTCACACTAAACTGTCTCACCCAAGGCTTCGTCCAACCTGGTCTTGAACACTGCCAGGGATGGAGCATTCACAACCTCCCTGGGCAGCCCATTCCAGTGCCTCACCACTCTAACAGGAAGGAATTTCCTCCTTATATCCAATCTAAACTTCCCCTGTTTAAGTTTTAACCCGTTACCCCTTGTCCTATCACTACAGTCCCTAACGAAGAGTCCCTCCCCAGCACCCCTATAGCCCCCCTTCAGATACTGGAAGGCTGCTATGAGGTCTCCACGCAGCCTTCTCTTCTCCAGGCTGAACAGCCCCAACTTTCTCAGCCTGCCATCTGAAATGTGAGGCTGTAGTGAAGGCCTTGTGTTCCAGATGGAATAATAAGGTTTAGTAAATGAACTATCAGTATGAGTGTGCTTCAGTTTTAGGAATGGGGAATGCTCTTCATTGAAGAAGAAATGAAGGCTTTGGGGTTCCAAATGTTCACAGGGCTTGTGCAGTGTGCTGCTTGCCTGCTTATTGCCCCTAACACCACCAAATTGCTGTCTTCTGTCTTGACAGTTTCCCCAAGTGTTCCAGTACAGAGATTGCCTACTGAGTCTGCTTTTTGCAGGGTCATAGTTTCAGCACTGGTTTTCTGTCACTATTTGGTTGCTGAACCATTATTCCTTATCCTTGTGCGTGAGTGTGGCAAGGAACAGAAGTGAGGAGGTGAATTCCGTATGTTTGGGAAATAGTGGGTTTGCGTGAACCCTATTGGTTCTTGTCAGGAACGGGGCAGTCAGCTGCAGACACCGTGCTTCCCTCACATGTGTGGGGTTTCTTTTCTTCTTCCCTCTTTTTCCTTGGTACTGTTCGTTTGGTAGAAAATCCCCCCCTGAAGCGGAAGAAGGGCCCAGCGCCGAAGATGCTGGGCAATGAGGTGTGCAGTGTGTGTGGGGACAAGGCCTCAGGCTTCCACTACAACGTGCTGAGCTGTGAAGGCTGCAAGGGCTTCTTCCGCCGCAGCGTCATCAAGGGTGCGCAGTACGTCTGCAAGAACGGTGGCAAGTGTGAGATGGACATGTACATGCGGCGCAAGTGCCAGGAGTGCCGGCTGCGCAAGTGCCAGGAGGCAGGAATGCGGGAGCAGTGTGAGTGTGGGAAGTGGTGGTGGCGGGAGCACAGTGGTGTTGGGGCAGGAGGTGTGTGAGCATGGGCCGGGGATGAAAAGAAGGGGGCAACGTGAGTGCTTGGGGGTCACATGTGGGCTGGAATGCACATGGAAATCACTGAGTGCATAGCAAGAATCGTGGAATAGTCAGGGTTGGAAAGGACCTTAAGATCATCTGGTTCCAACCCCACTGCCATGGGCAGGGACACCTCACACTAAACCATGTCACCCAAGGCTCTGTCCAACCTGGCCTTGAACACCGCCAGGGATGGAGCATTCACAACCTCCCTGGGCAACCCATTCCAGTGCCTCACCACCCTTACAGTAAAGAACTTCTTCCTTATATCCAATCTAAACTTCCCCTGTTTAAGTTTGAACCCGTTACCCCTTGTCCTGTCACTACAGTCCCTAATGAAGAGTCCCTCCCCAGCATCCCTATAGGCCCCCTTCAGATACTGGAAGGCTGCTATGAGGTCTCCACGCAGCCTTCTCTTCTCCAGGCTGAACAGCCCCAACTTCCTCAGCCTGTCTTCATATGGGAGGTGCTCCAGTCCCTTGATCATCCTCATGGCCCTCCTCTGGACTTGTTCCAACAGTTCCATGTCCTTTTTGTTGAGGACACCAGAATCACGTGGAGAGGTGAGGCTGTTGGTGGAACACCACCAGTGTGCTGAGAGCCCCAGTCCTGCTGTATGCCTTGTAAGAACGTGTGGCCCATGACATCAGAGGAGAGAGACTTGCATCCAAGATTTAAGTGTTCTTCAATATGCTGTCAACTGTATCAGTAAACTCAGGCTTCTGCCTGTCTTTTGATTGGGACTGCAAAGTTGCTCACTGTGCTCTTTGAACAGACACTTCCCTTTGCCTCATGCTGTGAGCTTGTGACAGAGGTCAAGGGCAGCACCACAGCCCTGCAGCTGTGTTTGTGCAGGCCTGATCTCGTTGCTCCCTTTAGTGAACTCTGCTATTTTTCTCCCACGAGCCATAAAGCTGCTGTTTCTGAATATTCAACGACGTTCCTCTCGCATAGCCCTCTTCAGCCAAGGTATCTGGGTTTCATCCCTTTGTTGACCAAGGCTGACCAAGTGGATGCTCGGTTAACATTAAATCCGTATGAAGTCTCCTCTGACATCCAGCATCCGGAACAGTGAGGAACAGAGGGTATTTCGGAAACATCTTATAAAAATAGTTCTGCAAAAAGTGAGTCCTGCTGAGCTGCAAGGCTGCTCATCCACCTTGCTAACCTTCTATTGCAGGTAGATAGCAGAAAGCCTCATTTCTGTCTTTACTCATTGTCTTATGTTGAAGACAGCTCTGGAAAATTAGGCCAAAAGGAATCTTTGAGTTATTATCAAGTGCTCAGCAATTCTTGTCAACACTGTAATCCCACTGCAAATTCATCTTGTTAATCTTGACAGGAACCAAGGGCTTTTTCCTCCAGCTGTTTCACTTGGAAGCTCATTCCAGAACTTCCCTCTGCTAATTGTTGGAAACATTCTTCTAATTCCCAGGCTGAAGTTATTCATGGCCAGTTTATTGTTCTTAAGCCAGCATGAGCTATGAGGTTAAATAGTTCCTGTATGGCAAACCAAGTAACTTAGATGCTCTGAATTTAGCATGGTGTAAAAGCTTGCACATAGGCAATTTTCGGGATTCAGTAATACCTGGTTAACTTGTTACTCAGCTATAAATTCCTTGTGGATCTGAGTCCCAAGACGAGGGACTGTAATCACTTGGATCAATTACTTTCCTTCTTAAACTAACATGGTGACTAGCATTCTCTAATTTTACAGATCCCCCTTAATTTGGTAATTGTCTTGGATATTCTTGGCTGTTTGAATTGTCATTTCTGTGTGTGTGCATACCTGTGTGTGCATCTTCCCTGTTGGAAGTCAGGGATAAAGGTTACTCTCAGCTTGAACATGCCATGTTCTTCCATCTTTCCCTCCAGTCCTGTGGACTGGACTGTCCATTTCAGAATGCTGTCTCATGATAGATGTTCATTTCTTGTCTTCATGTTTAACATAATCCTTTTAAGAAGTGCATGTATATACTTGTTTAGTTTTGGGGCCTGCCTTCATTTTTAGCTTTGTTCCTGAAGATGCGTGGTGGTTCATTTGTTGTTTTTTATCCCATCAGTCCCTTTTCTTCTTTTTGTTCACTCATCACTAACAGGATGGTTTTCTTGAAGACAGTCCTTGAATCCAGGTCTGTCTGGTAGCTGCCTGGGTTTTTGAGTGCAGCTTGCAGATATTTTTTGCAGCTTTGACTTAAAGAAACAACAACCTCCTCTACATTCAAAATGGTGAATTCTTCTGTTAACTCAGTTGCAGGCTGTTAACAGGTTTGTATATTGAGATTAGCTAATGAGCAGTTGGTCCAGTCAGATTTTCACAACACATACCTCTGAATTGCTTTATTCCTTACGATGATAGCAGTGTGCCTTATTTCTGTGCTTACTGAATGACATATCCTTTGACCTCATGACTGACTTACAGCCCTACTGAAGGACTTGTGGTCCTTGGTGTGTTTTATGACAAGCTATTCTTTCATTATCATCTTCCAGTTTACTACTCTACAGTTTGCTGCTCTTTCACTCTTGGACTCCATCCAGTACTGACTGTGACCTCTCAAGAGGAAGCTGAAATGACACAAGTTGTTAATTTAGCAATATTGGGAAAAGATGCAACAGCAGGATAATATAAAATCCAATGGACACACCATGGCATGTCCACAGAGCACCTGTTGGAATCTGTTAGAACATGAAGTTTGGGGGAATTGCTCAATGGGGCAAGTCACTGTTATCTTTCTAAGATTGTGAAGGGAGCTTCTGTCCTTTGTGAACACTTCGCAGGACAGTATGAAGTGAAAGGCAATGGAACAATTTGAAGTGGGGAAAGGAGGGAGAAACAAATGAGCAGTATCATTGTCTGCTGCCTGTGTTGTGTACACTTACATGCACCAGATACAGGCAGCTGTGATCTCTGCCTCTCCATCCACAGCATGTTACCCTGTGTTCCGTGGGGTTTCCAGTGTGTTTGTATGTCATGATTGATCTCTGACTGTTCCTTCTTTAGATGTTCTGTCTGAAGAACAGATCCGACTGAAGAAAATGAAGAAGCAGGAAGATGATCAGGCTCGGACAGTGGTGGTGCGTCCAAACCCTCCGAATCCGCCAAGCCCTTCCCACAAGCTGACCCCTGAACAGCTGAGCATGATAAAGAAGCTGGTGGCTGCTCAGCAGCAGTGCAACCAACGCTCATTCACTGACAGGCTCAAAGTGACGGTAAGAACTCTACCAATGTTCCCAAAATCAGAAAAAGTTTGGGGAGTTGGATTTGTGGGTAGATTATGTGGGAGAACAGATACACTTTAGGTATTGTATCTATGGGATGAAGTTCTGTAAAGAATAGCAAAGGATGATGATGCTTCAATGTGTCTCATTTTCTTTCTCTGTTCATCTTCTCATCTTTCTGCCCTGGCTCCATCTTTCACATACACCTTCTCTTCCCATTCCCACAGCCATGGCCCCAAATTCCAGACCCTAATAACCGTGAAGCAAGGCAGCAGCGTTTTGCTCACTTCACAGAACTTGCAATTATTTCTGTGCAAGAGATTGTGGACTTTGCCAAGCAACTACCTGGCTTCCTGGAGCTCACTAGGGAAGATCAGATCGCTTTATTGAAGACGTCTACCATAGAGGTGAGAGTTTGGCTCCTCCACAATACACAGTAGCAGAGAGAAAAGAATCTGGACTATTCACGTGGTTCCATCCCATTTTTGGGGATGGCAGGCTGAAGGACCTCAGCTCTGGGACCATTACTGCAATGCCTGGCTATAGGGCCATGGAGGAGAATGAGGCAAGAGCCTTGGTAGTGGTAAGCAGATTTTTCCCCCCTCCCTGAAGCTGATACCACAAAGGATGCAGTAGAATTTGGTTTTGGGTTTTAGTTGGTTGGTTGGTTGGTTATTTTTTTCCTCTGACACTCCACAAATTACTGATATTGTAACATTCTTCCCTGTTTTCAAATCAAGTAAATCTGTTTCTGGTTTCAGGTGATGTTGTTGGAGACATCTCGGCGCTATAATCCAGAGATTGAGAGCATCACCTTTCTTAAGGACCTGAGCTATAATCGGGATGACTTCGCCAAAGCAGGTGGTGCATTAGACAGGTGTTTCTTCCTTCCCTGTGTCTTGTGTTCATCTTTTCTGTTTTAATGTGAGCTGCTGGAAATAGTATGTGAGGCATTAAAACTGAAGTCAGGTGAGAGGCTGAGAACAGGACCAGACCAATAGCCCCACAAACCCTTTTTTGCCTTTAACATGTGATACTAGCTTAGTTCTTGTCTCTTTCTTTAGGTGTAAGCTTTATTCGGGAAAATTGGACTCTTATGGCACTAAAATCTTTCTGTAAGACTGCACCTAGGGCTAGCAACTGGTGTGAGCTTTGTTGCTCATAGAGATCTGATGTGGACATGTAGTTTTAAAGCCATATCAGGTAACAGTAAATCAAACCCGTCTTCCCTCCTTTGCAAGTACATCACTTCCTCATCTGGATGCATGCTTTGAATGGTGACATTAGTGTGATTACACTTCGGTTGATCTGAAGTCTATACTGTGCACTGAAGATCCCTGCAGAGTGCTTCAGTCATGTCAGCAGCTCAGTATGTGATGGTCTGTGGTCATGTCGTTTCTGAAGTCTGTTTTTCCATGAGCAATAATTTCCAGTGGAGTAACAGAAAAGTGTGTATCCAGCATTTCTGGAAATGAGACTCTGGTTGTCTTTCATGTGACTTTGATTCCTTGGGTAACTATCTAACCACTTACACTTGAGATGGGTTTTATATACAGATTTCCTCTTTGATGGTTCCTGATAGCCTTTTCTTCAGATTATTAGGAAGGCAAAAAGCAAGCAGCCAGAAAGATTCCCTGCAGCTTGTTCATCCTTCTCTGATGTAGCTGTGCTGCAGAAAATTAGAAACTTGGATGCTTTTTGGAGGGAAAGGCCTAAAGTTTTCAGCATGATTGTATAGCACAGAGATCTGATTTGACAGTGACTTCTGTATGTTACAACAATACCCAAGTGCATTTCTGCCTGTCTGCCTTTATCAAAAGAGGTGATTGGAAGCTCAAGTCAGGCTCTGCTTGAGCTCTCCCAGCTTTCTGTGCTGAAGGAAATGGCATAGTTCAGACTTCTTGGGACTATATATTTTCAGCTCAGACAAACTTCAGATGAGCTTTAATCTTGGAGTATGGGATTAAAGCTTTGAAAAGCAAGAAGGTTTGAAGGAAGTGATGGTGTGAAAAGCAAGAGAGTTTGAAGGGAGTGATGGTGTGAGAGTGGAAAGCGTAGATGTACTTGTGGGCTTCTCACTTTCTGATAGACTTACCTGATAGTTGGTTTCATGTTCCTTTAGCTGTTGCTTGGTAGTGTGCTGTGAGGCATTTAAGGCTTTAAGAGAAATGAGAAGTAGTGTCATTTTACAGTTAGAGCCTGACTCCTCACCTACTGTTATTGGTGCTCACCTGTGGTAGTGGGATGTAAAGGGAGATTTCCACCACACTTGGAATCTAACATTAGAGTTTTTCCCTTCCTTCCTGTCCTCCCTACTCCCTGACATACTGCAGTGGGTTTCTGGCAGCTTATTCCATGAGGGAAACCATTACCTGACATTGTTCCCTTCTGTTTGCTGCAGGTCTGCAGTTTGAGTTCATTAACCCCATCTTTGAGTTCTCAAAGGGAATGAATGAGCTACAGCTGAACGATGCCGAATATGCACTTTTAATCGCCATCAACATTTTCTCTGCAGGTAAAAAGCCAAGGAGATCTGAAGAGCTGCAGCAGTGAGTCAGAGGGCAAAGAAATTAGAGTTTAGGAAGGTCATAAACTGAAGAGGAGTAATAGAGGGTATGTAAGGTCTAGTGATAAAGGAAGTGTGTTACTACTTCTGCTTAGGGTATTTGTTGTATTATGAATTTTCTAGTTCCACCTCCAAAGGAAATAAGATTCCCCACTGCTGGAAAAGTGTATATTAAAATCAGGTGATATTTATCTTCCTCATTTAGAAACTGCTATTTCACTGTCCCGTTAATGTACTCTGCACACTTCTTGTATGAATCGGGTCACACAGCAGGAGTGACATCTAGTGGCACCTTCTCATCTTCGCTGGGGCAGGAATGTGACAGTAGACGCTGTTGTAGTGCTGTGTGGTCCCTCTACCCCTCCACCTCTCTAGGAGTCAGATCAGACTCCGCATGTGCCATCACTGAGAAAGAACAGTTACAGAAAATGGACATAGGTGCTGCAGTCATGGAGGACTCTCCCGCTGTGCCGGGTGAATTCTAGATGAGGTTTTTAGGGAGAAACTGTACTGAGGGACTGGGGTTAGGCAGTGATGTTGAGTTCAGTGAAGTTGCCCGAGACCATCTACTTACTTGTAACATGCTTTTTGGCAGACCGACCGAATGTGCAGGACCAGTCCCTGGTGGAGAGGCTGCAGCACACCTATGTGGAAGCCCTTCATTCTTACATTTGTATCAACAGACCAAATGTAAGTGCCTGACCAGAATATCTCCAGCGATGATGCAAACTGATTTTGTGTTTATTCAGGCACAGTTCCTGTGGTACTGTCTGTAACAGGTCTCTTGCTCTCTGTGCTGTTGTGTTCTTCCCTTCTGTAGCTGTTTGATAATTTGTGAGCTCTCACAGCCTTCTGTCCTGTAGCATATTGCATAGTTTAGCCAGGATGGAAAGCCTGGAGTTTCAGGACATGGTGTAGTATTCTTTGTCGGGAGATCTTGGAGCAGCTTCCAGTGCCTAATGGGGGGCTTACAAGAAATCTGGAGAGGAAATTTTTACAAGGGCAGGTAGTGACAGGACAAGGAAGAAGGGCTTTAACCTGACAGAGGGGAGATTTACATTAGATACTGGGAAAAAATTCTTCCCTGTGAGGGTGCTGAGGTGCTGGCACAGGGTGCCCAGAGAAGCTGTGGCTGCCCCATCCCTGGCAGTGTTCAAGGCCAGGTTGGAACAACCTCATTTAGTGAGAGATGTCTGGGCCCATTGGCAGGGGGTTGGAACTGGATGATCTTTAAGCTCCCTTCCAGCCCAAACCATTCTATCTCATGATTTGTGTTCTTCCAGACTGTCACCTCCTGGATCATGCTGGGTTTAGAGGAAGTCAGGGTTGTGGTTACAGTGCATCATGTGGTGTGGTGATTCTATTTATCTTTTAACCAAGTTTTAGTGTGACTTTGCTAACAGCTGCCCATTTGTCTGCCTCTGCAGGACCGCCTGATGTTTCCACGGATGTTAATGAAGTTGGTCAGTCTTCGGACACTGAGCAGTGTCCACTCTGAACAGGTGTTTGCCCTTCGGCTGCAGGACAAGAAACTCCCTCCCCTGCTCTCAGAAATCTGGGATGTGCATGAGTGACCGCATGCTCCCAGGGCACTGACGTGCTGACATAATGCCATCTCCCAGCCTTTGCTAATGAGAAGCCAGCTTTCCCTCTCCAAAACACTGAACTCTGGGCTCAGCAGTGCAGGGAGTGATGATCCTGGGGTTTCAGTGTTGTCATGAGACTATTCAGGAGGCAGCTGGGGTAGATCAGATTGGGGGGGTTGGTTTTAATGTAGTGCCCATACCCCAAAGGAATGACACAAAACATCTGAACACAGTAGAAATGAAGACCTTCCCCCATCACGCACCTCTTCCTTCTGAGTCTTTCTCTTCTCTAAGCATGTCTTGAGGGTTTGCCCATTGATACTCTCTCTTGTTGATTATGAAAAGGCAATTGCAAGAAATTGCCAAATCCTCTCTATTGAGAGTAACCCAGCTCAGAAGGCTTCTGCAGGGTCCCCAGTGTACCTGGATCTGAGGAGCTCAGGGAAGTCAATGTGGATGTTCTAGGGGTTTCACTGGGTTTCCTATAAATGAAATCTCTTGTATGTGCTGCCCTTTACGATTCCAAGAGAAGTAGCTTGTTATTTCTGTATTATGAGACTTCATCTCTAGAGCTGCCCTTTCATTCTGGCCCTCCTTTGAAAAAGGATTCCTCTAATATGTAGTGCCCTTCATCTAACAGGGAGGTCCTCTGGATAGGGAATGTTTGTACATCAGAAGGATGTCAGGCATAAAGTAGTGGACTATTTTTTTACTGTAATACATGACAGTTTTATCTCATGGTGGTTCTCAGCCAGTTCACTCTACCTTCGAGTTGCTAACAGCTGGAAAACTGTAGTTCCACACAAATCAGGGCATAGATTTTACCTTTAGGGGTGGAATAGAAGAAAGATAGGTGGGAAGAACTGGTACCTAGGCAAGGTAGGTGTGGTGGAAGGATCCTAAAAACTTCCAAGAATTTGGAGCATGTGGCATGTGTTCCAAGGTAGGTGTGAAGATGTATCAGCCAAGGAGAGAGGACACACTGCATTTGGTGAAATACGTGGGCATTGCATAAACTGTGGGCTGCACAACTTCCAGATCATGGGCTGCAAGAATATTGGGTGTAACCAGATCTGTCTTCTTGCTTTTGCCAAAGTCTTTCCAAGGTACTTGCTCAAGGTTTTAGTGATGGTCATGGGACTTGAAGGTCCCTCCTGTATGAGGAGTGCCAACTGCTTTAGAAGGACACTTGGGTCTCGTATCCTTTCTTCACTCTGGGCACTGTGAGATCCACACTGGATTTATGTCCCAAGTTCATAAGTATCCACATTCATAAGTATTCTAGGATTTACACCAATATTTTGTTTGCCATAAGAGAAATAATACTCTTGTAAAACCCATTCCTTCTTTTCTAAGAAACAACACCTTATGGCTGATCTCAAGAGATGTAACCTTTAGTATCCTGGTAGCTTGGTCTCATGAGTCTTCTCTGTGATAGGGGTCTATGTTTGCTTGCCCGGTGAGCATCCCAAGAACCGAGGTTCACATGGCTCATTTTTTGTTTGTTTGTTTGTTTTTTGGTTGGTTTATTATTTTTTTGGCTGTGTATCTGAGCGCTATGCCCGTGGTGAGGGTATCGTGTCCATTTTGCACTTGAGGTTGGTCCCCTGCCACTGGCCTTCACTCTGCACCTTTGTAAAGCATTTGTAACAATCTGTAAAATAATCTGTTGTTTTTTATAACTCGTTGCAATTGCAGAAATTCTTGTTTAAATCTGTATTTTTAACTAATCTGTTTGAGAAATGTTAATGTTTATATAAAAGAATAAAGCCTAATACAGGATTTTGACATTCTCTGATGTGATGTCATTAGTCTGGAGGAGGATGGAATAAGTTCTTGATGTAAGAAGCTCAAAGCTGATAAAGTGAATATATAGGTTGGGGAGAAGCTGTAAGTGGTGGAAAAGAAATAGCAATGCAACCCCGGGCAGTTTCTTTTGGCCTCTGAGATTTTAGCTCCCTGTGCACCATGCTGTGTATGTCTGAGTAGGAGTCCAGTGTGCGCCTGGCTGTTGAGCGGATTTCAGTGAGATCCTGTAGCTGGTACCTGGCATGAGTACATCAGAAATGATTAGCACAGGAGAACAGGAGTAGCTATCCACATGCATTACCTCTAAGGGAAGAGCAGAAGGGGGGAAGCAGAGAGCTGTCCAGCATCAGCTGCTTTCCAGGTTCTTGGCACACAACGGGGATTGTGGATTCAGCAAAGCTCCACACCACCGGCTGTTCTGCTGAAATCTCTTCATTACTCCAGAGTATAAAGTTTAAACTACTCCACTAGAGGAAGAGGGAATAGGGAATAGGCTTACAAGAGGCTGCAGCGGGGTATGAAGTGGGGAGTAATGAGCAGAGCTCGAGGGCTCAAGGCAGTCCTGGGTGGATTAGAGGGCAGCTGGACCCAGCTCAGAGGATTTGCTAAAGAATGAGACTGTCAACAGCGAGAAGAGGCAGTGGCAAGGAAGCTGCAGCTTCATTTTTAGCTTCATTTTGAGCAGCAGCTCTTTATTTTAAGAGGGAAAACTGCATGTATATTTGAGGGGTTCACAAGATACAACCCGTGACATTGGTGTTTGATGGCAGTGGTGAAAGTAGGGATTTTCTTGGGCTGTGGCTTCTCCAACCCTTTTCATTATCATGTAATCCACTATAAACTCCTTGTCTACATATTCACATTCTCTTTCATTGTAAGTGCAAATCAGCACAGAATTATTCTTTTTGTTATATAGCAGCTTCCTGGGTTAGCCCAGGCAGCTCAAGTAAGCAGGTTTAGTGGAAGAACCTCCCTGCAGAGCAGTGGTCCTTTGTACTTCTATATTTGCAAAATGCTACCTAGGCTTGAGCCTCAGTCCTGCTGCTCTAAGGCTCTGTACCCTTACCTGTTTCAAATTACCGCTGTTAACTTGGCTACTGGAGAAATCATGGATGCTTGAACTACAGCATTGGTGGTGTTTTCTGTTGGCTGTGCCCTTACGCAATGGCTGTGTTCGCTCATGAACTATTCAGACTATTCAGATCAACAGGGGAAGAAAGGATGGGTGTACTTCTGAACTCTCAATTCCTTTACAATGGGAAGAGCATTCATGTGGAATATCAAATCAAGTATTTTACTGTTTTGCACTTTAAATGTTTTTTTTTTTTAAACCATTGAGACAGCTGTGATAAGTTTGGTTGCATTTTGGGTTTATTTTAGTGATTTTTGTTACTAAATTATTTGATTGCACAGTGAGCTGGTTCATAGGAGCAGGAAAAGAATTAACACCCCCCCCCCCCATGTATCTCAAACTTTTAATAAGCAAATTCTCATTTAATTGGATGAAGCCAGTAGCAAATTGATAATGTGAATATGATACGGTAACGGATGTGAAGCAAGTAAAGGGTGAGAGCACACAGTGCTCTCCTTGGTGTACGGTCGTGTTTCTTATCCATGTGGCCATTGCTGGCCCTGCTTGTCTGGAGCCAGGCTTTGCTGTTGGGAATGGCTGAGGGACCTGGAGGAGGTTTAGTCTGGAGAAGAGAAGGCTCAGGGGAGACCTTATAGCTCTCTACAACTGCCTGAAAGGAGGCTGTAGTGAGGTGGGGTCAGTCTCCCAAGTAACAAGTGATGGGACAAGAGGAAACGGCCTCAGGTTGTGCCAGGAGAGGTTTAGGTTGGATATCAGGAAAAAATTCTGCACCGCAACAACATTCAAGCATTGGAACAAGCTTCCCAGGGCAGCGATGGAGCCACCGTCCCTGGAAGAGTTTACATACCCTGTAGATGAGCCCTCGGTGACATGGTTTAGCGGTGCCTTTGGCGGTGCTGAAGTCAAGATTGGACTTGATGACCTTCAAGTTCTTTTCCAACCTGGCTGATTCTGTAATTCTATGGTTTCCCTTCTGCTTGCCAAGAGGGGGCTTAACGCAGTAATTTAACGCTCCATGTGGCCGGTATGGCACAGGTAACCTACACAGCCTGTCTGCGGAACCGCTTTCCCTCCCCGCCATCTTGCCTCCCGCGCTGCCCCCCCACAGCGCTCCCCTGCGGGAGGCCGGCGAAAGCGCCTCCACCTTTCCTTCCCTCCCCGCCGTCGGTACGAGTGGTTCGCTCCGCTCTTTCCCCCCTCCCTGCGGAAGGCGGTGGTGCGTTCCGCTCCTGGCGCTCGATGCGGAACTGGCCGGGCGGCGCAGAGCAGCTGGGGGCGGTGGCAGCGGCAGGTGAGCGGGGACCGGGCACCGGGCCGGGTCATCACGCAGGCGACGGGTGCGGACCGTACGTGCGTGCGCGCACATGCCGAGAGCGGGGTCGGGCAGGGCAGGGCAGAGCGGAGCCCGCCGGGTCGGCGGTGCCTGAGGTGATCCGCGCGCGGACAGCTGCGGTATGGTCCCCCTGCCCGCCCGCCTCACGCTTCCCCGGCGCTGTGGTGATGCTCGGGTACGGCGAGCCCTTCCGCAAGGTCACTGCGGGAGGAGGCAGAGGTGCGGGGAGGGAGCGGGGCCGGCCGAGCTCTGCTCCATCCTCCCGGGGCCGCGGTGCTGCGCGGGGCTCCGGCGGCGGTGGAGCGGTCCCCGGCCGGGAGCGGGCAGCAGCCCCTAAGGGGGGGGGGGGGGTGGGGGTGTGTCTTTTGCGGGTTGCGCCGCGGCTCCCCGCACGGGAAATGGCGGTGTGGCCGGCCGGGGAGGGGGCTCGACCGTGGCGGTGTGAGGGCACAGCGGGCCCGGGCCTCCCGCCGGCTTCTCCTTGCTCCCTGCCGGGAGGAAGCAGGCAGGACAGTTAGGGCAGGTAGAACGGAGACTCGGGGCGGAACGGTCCCCCCTCTTCCCGCTTTGAAGAGGTGGGGTGTGCAGCGTTGGGAAGGGGTTGCTGCAGTGATGTGACTGGAAAGGTGGTTTTACTCCTTGGTTTGTAAACAGAAGATCTTGTTACTCCCCGAGACAATAGAATAGGAAATCGACTTTATACTAGTCAGTTTCTTAGCCTGTAAATCAGTAGTCTTTTCGCCTCAAACGGGTGTCACCACCTTGCTGTGGTACTCGGGTTTATTTTCAGGCAGAGAAAGCTTGGTCTGTGGTACTGGTTGTGTGCAGTCACGATAAAGAAGCACTTAGAGAAATGATAAGCCTTGGAGGAAACTGGTTTGTTGGCTTCCTTCTCTCCCTTTTCTCTCTGAACTTGCGCACTGTTGTCAGGCATACACAAAATAACATGCATGATAAATTCTTAGCCCCATGGAGATGGGGTTAGGACTTGTGAATCTAGCAATCCGTTCTGCTTGCCCTAGGCAAGCCAGCCATTTTCTCTATGTTCAGTGTAACTCTGGGTCAGCATTTCTGTTGGTGTGCTCTCAAGTGTCCTTGCTGTGTTCTTTGCAGCATCACTTATCTGCAAAAAGGATGTTACTGATAGACAGAAGCAAGGGGAAGGAAGATGCGGTGTCCTGAGGGTCACATAACTAAAGCAAAGGCGTCCAAATATAGGTTATTTGGGAAGTGTCTCCATTTTTGGACTTCATACTGCTTGAACCTTGGGAATTGTTTTGGATGGGCACATAAAATACTTGCTGTTTTCAGCACTAGTGGAAACCTGCAATCTTGACACATCAGAGAGAGCAACTTTGACATCTAATATAGCTAAAATGCAGGTTTTGCAAGATCTCATCTGGCCATCCATTCATAGTGTGTTATGTAATACTGAACTGATCTAGCATTCCAGCTATAAAATAGTTGTTTTGCTTTACTGTTGTACCATTAGAAAATACATAGCTCTTGGACCCAGTTTAATATACCCTGGAATTATACACTCATGAATCATCTTACTGTGTATTTAATAAAATGCAGAATCATCAACCAGTCTTTAAAATGCTTTTGTTTGAAAAATAATAGTCTCGTTAGCCCTAAAGATCTTGTACATGCCTATGTAGCGGTGCTGCAGTCATATCACAAGTCTAGAGTTTGGTGTTTTTACCAGATGAGAGCTTTCTCTAAGCTTCAGAGTCCTGTTGCATGTCCTGCTGAACCCAGGACACTGCCTTAGCTTCCACACAGGAAAAACAGTTCTAGATTTACTGGATGAGCAAAAAGGAAAATAACATCCACACTGTAAGAATGTTGTCCGTATAAAATGTGTAATATGGCCAAGATATGTTTTCATGCTGTATGGGTTATGTGCCAGGGCGATGGATGATGAAGAACCAAAGGCTGTTAGCAGCTGGCAAAAAAAAAAAAAAAGGTGTTCTGGTTTAAAGTTTTTATGGAAAAAACACAGTAAATATTCTAAAGACCAAACCTCTTCTTCAGCCTTGATACCATCCTGTAGCTCTTCTGAAAGCAGAGAGGGGGTGTATATGATGAAGTCCAAATTCAGTCTCTTTCAGAAGGATTTTGGAGATGGAGAAAAAAAGGTCTGAGGATTTTTATCACTAAGCCTTGCCAACCTATTAGCCAAATTAGCTTTGTACTTTTAGAGTAGCAGGAGTGATGGTTCAGCAGAAATAGCAAAGGCATCAGTGCATCTGATCTTACTGAAACACTTGCTTGTGTCATTTCCCTAAATTAAATGAATGTTGTCTTGATTTTATCTGGCGTGGGGTGAGGGGCACAGAGGCTCATCACTTATGGCTTTTTCCCCTATCATCTCAAGCATATCAAATATTCCAGTTGGGTATAGACAGGACATACTAGACATACCTTTGGCAAGATGTTCAGTTTGGTCTGCTCAGTATCTTTTGCAATGAGTCATTTGAAAAAACAAATACTTATGCCAATTTCTAGTATTAAATTAGCAAGTCACAAGTACTGCTGAATTTGCAGAGAACAAA